TACATATGAATATGTATGTTTATATGTTTAAAGTCTATGTCCCTCACTAGAAGTGCCATGCAGACTGGAACCATATTGCTTTTGTTCATTGTCATACCCAATTTCCAAGCACAGCATCTGATATACAGAGACAGACACACAGCAAACATTGGTTGAATGAATGATGACCAAATGAACCACTATGTATTCATCACTCCATGAATCTAATTCTAAAAACTCCATTGGATGCTCCTGAATCATACCCTTCTCCCACAAATCAGCTTTCTCTCTTAAGGCACCCAAGAAGTTTCTTTCAAGTTATGGCTATTTCCCTCCCCATTAGATTTTAAACATTTATCAGAAATGGGGCATATACGTTTACTTTTCTTCCATCTCTGCAATGTCTAATTTGATGCCTTGCATTTTATAGATATTCTAAAGTAGTTGTGAACCTAAGTGAAAAATGAATAAAGATGTTTGACTGGTCATTTAGCTTATGTTAGTTTCCCTTTGCCTATATTGTTAAATCGCATCTTCATATTCCTAGATGAGCAAAAGATAGTGAGGGAGGACCAGAAAAAAAAGAAATAAGGAAGGAAGCAGTAATATAAGGAATAGGCAATGGAGAAGAAAGGAGTGCAGAAGGATGAGGAGAGGGGACAGGTGGAGAGGTAAAAGATATGAATCGCAAGCTTGTATTATTATTAATAAAATGAACAGACCACTAGAGACCAATGCCAGAGGACCAGGAGGCACCTGCCCCACCTCTGGCTAAAGTCATGGCCCACTGAGCCTGAACTGGAGCCCAGATATCTTGAGAACCAAATGCCCCACCTCCAGTCCCTGGTTCTCTACAGCACAGGGCAACAGAGTTGGCAACCAACAGAATGACTTGATTGGAAAAGACACCAACACCCAGGAGGAGAGTCTAGCTTCATGGCTGAAATGAAACCCTTCCATCTAGACTGAGTGAGAGACACCCTTGGGAGACAGGCTTGGAGAGGGTGACAACTAAATAGGGATCTCCTGGAATCCCCTTTGTGGTCTGGGCTCAAACCAGGAAGATCACAGGGCCTACATTCTGATATGGGAGGCCAGGATCATGAGAGTAATTGTCTGAGGGGGTGGTCCTGAAGAAGAAGGCATTCAATATAGTGGTATGTTTGAACTCTGGCACTGCTGGCAATATCTAGCAGAAATCAGTACTCTGAATTACTATAAGTAAATATAAGGGGAACCTAACTATCTTCACTAAAATCGGATCCACTTTGCTTTGGTGAAGAGTTGTTCATGAGGAATTTCTAGGGTTTGTCAACATCCAGTTGACATTTGATGTCATTGTTGTCACTGAATTTACTACCATAGACAGGTAGTAGTAATATAGCAATGACTGGCAATTGTCATTCACTCTATACCAGTGATGGTGAACCCTTTAGAGCTTTCAATGATAATAAATAGCCGCTGCAGCACACGTGCCATAGGTTCACTACCACCGCTCTCTATACCAGTACCTGGATTGTTGGGGGTGGGGGTCATAAAAAATATTGTGGTGGCTCCCGAAGAACAGGGCACTAGGTCAAAAAATTTGCAGACCCAGTCCAAAAAAATAAACAAAACAACAGAAACATGAAAAGAAAAAGCAACAAAAGGTCTCTAAAAACCTCCCAACTTCTCCAAAATTGGTATAGGAGGAAATAAGGGGGAGGAAACCACAAGATACACAGTAGATAGCTCTGAAAGGGTAACAATGGTGGTAAAATAGTTCTGTAAGGTGCTTGACAAATTTAAAGAAGATATAACTAATCACATAATGACCATAATGAAACAAATGATCAGTGAGTGTAGAGAAAACACCAGTAAAGAGCTAGTAGAGCTAAAGAAAGAGATGTAAAACAGGAATTCCCAGGAAGAAAAGAATGGGAGTCCATATGGAAGTTCCAAACAGAAATCCAGGATATTAAAAATGTGACTGAGGGCCAGGAATTTAGCTCAGTGGTTCCACCGCCTGCTTTGAAAGCGCAAGGGCCCAAGTTCAATCCCCTGTACAAAAAAAAAAAAAAAAATGTGACTGAAAGTATGGGTAGTGGAAACAACCAAAACAGAGTCAGATCTCGAGGATAGAGCTATGGTCAATCATCAATTAATAAGAGATACCTTAAAAATAACAAGGGAACATAAAAAATGTATCCAATGCCTCAACTCAAAGAGGTCTAATATATGAGTAATTTCAATTAGGAAAAAAAATCAGAAGACAGTACAGAGGGCATACGAAACCTGTTTACACAAGTAATAGCAAAAAACTTTCCAGACATGGGAAAAGAATTTAACATACAGAGAAGTGAAGCATGTGGAACCCCAAATAGCCATGATCAGAAAAAAAAAAAAACTCCACACCACATAATAAGTGAAATGCCAGAAGTACAACACAAGAACAGAATCTTAAAGGCTGCTAGAAAAAAGCAGTGAGTCACTTATAAAGGAAAACCTATCAGAATTCCAACAGAGTTCTCGACACAAACCTTAAAGGCAAGTTGAACATGCAATGAAGTGTTTCAAGCTCAAAATAAATATATATATATATATATATATATATATATATATATATATATATATATATGACCTCCAACCCAGACTATTATATCCTGCAAAATTATATTTCAAAATTGATAGAAAAATAAAATACTTCCATGATAAAGAAAACCTAAAGAAATTCATTCCCACCAAACCAACACCCCCCCCCCCAAATTCTCGAGGATATCTTAGAAGGAGCCAATGAACTGACCAATGCTAAAAGGTCCAATAAAATGAATGTATCAGGTAGGGATAGTAAGTAAGTAGATCATTAAGAAAGCAAAACAGCAACAGGAAATTAATATTACAGGAATAACTCAATATCTATCAATTGTAACTATCAATGTACATGGACTTAACTCACCAATCAAAAGACACTAACTAGCAGGATGAATCAAGAAACAAAATCCAAAGGTATATAAGAAACATATTTAACACAAAAAGAAATTCATAGGCTAAGAATCAAAGAATGGAAAACAATATTCCACACAATGGAAACCCAAAAACAAGCAGGAGGAGCTATCATATTTTCAAAGTGGATTTCAAGCCAAAGCTGATCAGAAGAGGCAAAGAAGGACATAACATATCGGTTAACAGAACTATTCAACAGGAAGAGATAACAATTATAAACATACGTGCACCAACACACCCATTTGGGTAAAGTGCACCCAACTTCATAAAACAAACTTTAAGGGACATAAAAAATCAGATAAACATCAATACAATTATAGTGAGGTGTCTCGGTACCCCATTATCACAAATAGATCGACTAAATAAAGAATCAAGAAAGAAATATCACAGGTAAACCAAACTTTCAAACAAATGGACTTAATAAATATATAGAGAGTATTCTACCCAACAATAGAAGACACATTCTTTCCAGCCACAAGTGATACTCTCTCCACAATAGACCACATACTAGTTAATAAAACATACCTAAGTAAATGCAAATAAATTGAAAATTTACCATCTATATTATCAGATCACAGTGCAATTAAACTAGAAATTAATAGCAGAAAAACCATAGAAACTATGAAAACATATGAAAATCAAACAACACACTCTTGAATAACCAATGTGTCACAGAGGAAATTAAGGAAGAAATTAGTTGCTACAATTTAATGATAATGCCAGTACAACATATCAGAACTTATGGGACACAATGAAAGCAGACTTACAATGAAAGCAGTTAGTAGCTGTGAGCCCAAATAAATCACCTAATGATGCATCTAAAGGACTCAGAAAAATAAGAACAATCCAAACTCAGAGCTTGCACAAGGAAGGAAATTATAAAGACCAGAGCAGAAATTAATGAAATGAAGACTAGAAAAACAATACAAAGAACCAATGAATTGAAGAGCTAGTACTTGGAAAGAATAAACAAAATAGATAAACCCTTAGTCAATCTTATCAAAAAAAGGAAAGAAAAAACACAAAAATAAATGCAATGAGAAATTAAAAAGGTAAAATTACAGAGGACACTACCAAAATCCAGAAAATTATTAGCAACTATTTCACGAAAATATGCCAAACAATTGGAGAACTCAGAAGAAATGGAGAGATTTCTAGATACATATGAATTGCCAAAAACAAACCAAGAAGACTTAATAATCTTGAACAATCCAATAACAGGAAATGCAACTGAAGAAAACAAAACAAAACTACCAACTAAGAAAAGCCCAGGCCTGATAGATTTACAGCTGAATTCTACAAGAACTTTAGGGAAAATCTAACACCAATACTCCTCAAACTTTTTAATGAAATTGAGAGGGAAGGAGTACTTCCACAATCATTCTCAGAAGTTAACATTATACTGATCCCAAAACATAATTTTGATTATGTTGGTTCTGCCTAACCAATATAACCTAACAAGTATATAATTTTCTAACCTATGTACTAAGAAAAGTTCCAGTGAACTGGCTATCAGATGAAATAAATGTTTCATGGGAGAATAGCTTAGAACTCCATTAATATATTCTGAAAAAGATATATTTGTAGAAATGAAGAGTCATTTAATTGGTGGAAAGGAAGAGTCTAAGTAGAGTTTAGCATTGGTAGCATTAATTCACTCCACAACAATTTGCAATGAGTAAAGCACTCAAGTCCCAGCAGATTTTTCTTCCTTTCTTCATTAACTCACCTGATGCCCCTTGGGGGGACACAGCATCAAAGAAACTGAGATTTGTATGGGAATGTCAGAGGGAAGAATGGCCTACAGTGAAAATCAGACTGAGACAAGGATTAGAGATGTGAGCTTTAGTCCTCTCACTGCCAGTAATTAGTGTGTCTGCAATAAATCAAATCATTACTCCAGGGTTTAGTCCCCTAAACTTGGATAATAATCTCTAAGATTACTTCCAGGTTTTATTTATTTTTCAAGAAACAAGGTTATCTGAGTTAATGTTCTCCTTGCCTCATAAAGTGCTCTAATATAAACATTCCCCTCTTACCTTAGATATATGAGCGATAGATAACTCCACTTCCCAGGACATTCACTCCTCATTGGTAGGTTTGTGGTCATAGAATCTGCCACTTTTTAATTTCCTTTCATTGGTCTTAGTCTGTGTACAGAATAATTCAGAACAAGGGATCTAGCTTGGCCACATGACAGCTGTTTAAATATTGAAAGACATCATCTTGGCCTTCACTTTCAAAGTTAAACCTCTCTTTCTTTCACTCTACATAAATCATTTCCAGGCATCTTTGGCATCCTCTCTGCCTATGCTGGATCCTCCCTAGTTTATCAAGGCCCATCTTAAAGTGTACTCCCCCAAATTAAAGTTTAATACCTCGCTCACTCCCAGCAGATAATCCGAAGAGAATCTTCAGTGATTTAGGAAAATACTTCTCCAAGTACTTCTCAGAGGAAGACTGTACCAGCTAGGGCTCTTCAGGATGAACACTGCAGGACCCTCCCTCCTGCCTGCCTGCTATCTGGAAGCCCTGGGGTGTAGGATCTCCAACAGCAGTGCTCTGGTAACTGCCCACTCAACTCAAGTGACTTTCCTTTGACACTGTGTGAAGAGCAGGTGTATTTACACAGTTCTCTTCTCTAACAGAGGCTCCAAGAACTATGTAAGAAGTCAGTATTAAACAGGCATAACCAGCTAACTTCATTCAGGGCCAGGCCCAGGCAAATCACAGATGAAAGAACACATATCTGTGTGCAGATAGCAGAAAAGCAGCTTAGGTAAAATTTAGCCAACCCAATATTAAACTAGGATAGATGACTAACAAAGTAATTTACTGTGTCCTTCCACTTCAACCTACCGTGCAAGTAGATGTTTTTCATATTTCCATTCATCTTTTTTATTCCTCACCTACTTTTAAAAAATGACATTTACGGCAAAAAGTCAAACATCCAATTGACCCATTAGAAAAAAAACAAAAAACCAAGACATGGACTGGAAAACCCAGAAAGCACTGAATTATAACAGCTAAGCTATAGACAATCATTACACTGATTCTCCAAATTATCTTTGTGTTTCTGGTAGTGAAGCCAAAAAAAGAATTATAAATTTGCAAACTCTCATCTAATAAAAGGATGCACATTTGTTCATTAAGAGAAACAAAAATTCCCCTCTGTCCAACTCTCAGATGACCCTCCCCATCTTGGGTTTTCCCAATTTGATTAAATCATAATCAAATATCTTCTATTATCCTAAAAACTAGAAACCGATGCCACCACACTTCTGGAGAGTCAAAAGACTGTTGTCTTGTTTCTGAATTTTATACACACCACTAGGTAGAGAATAATGTATAATGTTATAGCTCTGAAATGAATTATTGAACTTGAACTTTAAAAAAAGTTTAAAAGTTAACATCCTTTAAAATATCAATTATTTCAATATTAGAATTCCAACATTTTCTGGAAGGAGGGTTTGTGTATATTAAATATGGGGTAGGTAAAGCTCATTCTCTGAAGTCTTACCTTATCCCCTCCCCACAGTTGATATTTATTTTTAAGGTGTTTCGGGTGCAATTTGCAAAATTTGTGGTAAAATGTACATAACATAAAAATTACCATTGTAACCACTTTTGAGCAGTTACTTTCCCTTCGATTACTGCAAACTTACCTCCACTCTAGACTCTTGTAAAAGAGAAAACCTACAGGCATTATTATTTTTCTTACAGAATTATATCTTTTACCACTTTGAAAAAGGTACATCTAAAGAGGTAACATTTACTGTAAAGAAATGCATGAGAGATTTTCAGAGATCAAAGACAATGAGCAAGGAGCTTGGGTAAGCAAGCCTTCCTGATATCTTTAATAGAATACATTCTATCCCCCCATCTTATTATGAAAATAAGGGAAGAACCATGAGATTTAGGATTGCTACTTTGTTGCATGTTAGTTGCATAAGATTTCAACCTTGATGTCCTCATCTGTATAATAGATGGCAGTAATACTAATGTCAGTTGTTATATAAATTAAATGAGGTAATATACATCAACAGGGATCTTAAAATTACATGCACAAATTGGTTGTTAAGGATATGAAGTCCTGGCCCTAACATCATTAGGCTGCAAGTGCTGCCAGGCTAGGGTCTGAGCCCTGTGCTTAGTGGAACCAAGCCCCAGTCTGAGCAGGTGGCTCTCACTGAGAAAATACTGGTTAAATGTGTGGAGGAATAAGATACCCCACTCTCTTGAAAGTGATTAACATTCTCTAGTTTATGAGAAGCAAAACCACAAAGAAGTAGATGGAAAAGATGTGTGATTTGTTGCACTCCCAGCCCAAAGTGGGTGGATGAAATCACCATTATCACATGAAAACCAGTACTCAAGAAACATCACGCATAAGCTCGCAAAATCTTCCTATAAGACAATTGGGCAAAGTGCCTCAAAACCCTAGAAACAGAATGATTGGTATAGCTCAGTGGTAGAGCACTGCAAAAACAAAACAAAACAAAACACACCAAAACCCTAAACCTTAAAAGCAAAAATAATTTGACATAAAATTCCAATTCAAACCACTGTGGAAATCAGTATGGAGATACCTCAAAGAACTAGGAATGGAAGTCCCATTTGACCCCGCTATTCCCCTGCTGGGTATCTTCCCAAAAGAATTAAAAGAATCATACCACAGTGATACATGTGCACCCATGTTCATAGCAGTACAATTTGAAATAGCTAAAACTTGGAAGCAGCCCAATTGCCCATCTGGAGACTGGATAAAGAAAATGTGGGTTTTTTATAAAATGGAGCACTACTCAGCCATAAAAAATGAAAAATTAGAAAAATTTATAGCTACATGAATACACATTGAGGTGATACCCTTAAGTGAAATAAACAGGACATACATGTGTAAATACTGAATAGTTTCTCTAGTGTGAGAAACTGAAAGTGTAAATAAGGACTAAAAAGGTATAATAGATAATATGAAATAGGAAGAAAAGGGGCAAAGGGAAAGGGGAAGTGAGAGGGTTAGAGGAAAGGAAAGAAGGGAATGGAATTAATATGAGAAAATGAAAAAATGGAAACAAAGTATTTGTAAATAGGGAGGGATGGAGGGGTTGAAGGGAGGACAGGAGAATGGGGAAAAAATAAGACCCAAGGTGCAAATTTCCAATGATGAATGTCACTATACTGTATACCTAAAATGTACCAATAAAATAAAATTTTTAAGAAAGATAATAAATATAAAAATATACTCTCCCTAAAATCATTTTTAATCTCAGCTTTAGAGAAAACATTATTAACATTTGAGTGTACATCCTTTTAGTATTGTAAATGTTAATGAATATGTGTGATTATATATACATATATTTCTTAACGATGTGGCTATACATCACATATTTTATCAATGTTTTCTTTTTAATTGGCAATACATTATAAATATTTCTCATGTCAAGCAAACAGTATCCTTTGAAATAATTTAGTGAATGCATACTGTTCACAACCACATACTGTATTTAGGAAAGCAGCAACATAAATTACCAGTCCTCCTACTATCAGAAATTTAGATGATTTCCGGGGTCTCATAAGTTGAGCTAAGATAAACACACACACACACACACACACACACACACATAATTCCAATTCAAGCTGGGGATTTAGCTCAGTGGTTCCACCGCCAGCCTCACAAGCGCAAGGACCCAAGTTCAATCCCTCGTACCAAAAACAAAAAAGAAAAAAAAATTCCAATTCAAGGAAGCTATTAAAATATTCTAGTATGGGTCCAAACATGCAACTATAAGAATGTTATATAGAGAAAAACCAGAAACCACTTTGTCCAATGATAGGAACTAGCAAAAAAAATAATGTTTATCCAGACAATGAGACAATGCAGACAAACTTTAAATTGAATGTTCAGTAGTATATGTATTAACAAGGAAGGATGTCTAAAAGATGCTTTAAAAAAGCTTCCAAGGAGTAAATACAGATACCAAAGATAAACATATAACAAAAACATTAACAATGACTGTCACTGAGCTTGTCCTTATTGTTCCATTTTATTTTTCTGAATTTTCTCATGTTTCTATAAGAAGTATGAATTCCTGATGTAATGTTTGACTAGATAGTTAATACTGACAGAAAAAGAAGGAAACTGTGGTCTCAAATACGGTTCAAAGAAATTGGGAGGCTTGGAAAACTTATTTATAGTCCCAGAGCTAGGAGTGTAGCTCCATCGTCTGCCAGCAAAAGACAAAAGGAAGATTTTAGATTCCATGAGGCTCCTTGAAGGGTGAGATGGAGCCCATAAGATGCCCAGTTGACTGGGAAATGACTAGTTTTTGTCCAATGTCAATCGGGTGAGGAAAATGCCAATCATCTCTGCCTCCCACTTCCATCCTATGCAGCAAGCTGACATCACAGCCTCACTGCACCTCTGAATCAGTTCCCTTTCTCTCCTACTCAAGGTCTGGTGATCTGCCCAAAGCAAAGTAAGGAAACAGGTGTGCTCTGGGTCACTCAGCCAAGTGCTAGGCGGGAGCTCAATGGACCTGCTTCCCCCTCCCAGGGAAAGCTGAGACAGGAGGCTTCCAGACAAATACCTACTGCCTGTCCTTGACAAACCAGGAGCACAGAGTCATGAATAAGGCACAGGGCCCAACTGCTAGACAAGCTGATTACTCAGGCTTTTTTTTAACTTTATTCCACTGAAGAGGAAGAAAAAGTGCTCACACAGGAAGAACAGCTCAGAAGAATCAGTTCTTTTTTTTTTTTTTAATTTTTGCAATTGCTTCATTTTCCAGTTGAAAATTGCTTCATTCTCTGCAAATGTCCTCTCTGCTAAGTCTCTCTAGCTCTCCTGCTTTACCAGAGCACTTAAGTTTTACATTCCCCTGGAGTGTATAAACCTTTTCAAAAACCCATCATACAACCATGAAATTCTTAGAAATTCTGCATGGCCTTTCTTTCTCTGATTGCCTTTTTGTCGCCCTGCCTCTGACAACCTTCCAGTAGGATAAATCCCAAATCCCCTCAGTCTGCTTAGAAGGGTCCCAGATCCAGGTTTCAAAGGCTCTTTAGCAAGATATTCACGTTGGATTAAGGACTCTGTTGTGTAGTTTTGGAAAACTATGCTCAGTTCTTTCTGAGCACAGAATTACTGTTCTCAGGACAAGACCAAAGTCAAGGCTTCCAAGGCTACACATTTAGTGTCTGATCATTTTCCTATATCTAAGCGAAGAAGAGAAAGAACTGTAGCATTTGTTGTTGTTAGATGGCAAGTATTATTTACTTGTAGGCATGGGCTTATAGCCCATGTTTAATAACACAGCATTAGGAAACTTCATTTGTTGTATGAATGTACTGCAATTCTTTTGAGTTCCAGCTGGGGAAATTCCCAACACAAGCAGATTTAAGCAAAGATAAATTATCATCCTAAGGAAATGAAAATTTCAAGGGTTGGTCTGACTAGATACCTAATTCAGTTCAAACAGTTCCATAAATTAATTGATTTCCCTCTTGCTAAATACTCGTCTAATTTCCTTTATATTTTCTCTATTCTCAGAACACTCTCAAGACGGACTCCCCAAAAACCCC